CGAATTTGGTCTGGAAGTTCTCAACAAAATCGAGAAAGGTCCCACACACAGCTCCTCAAGAGGAGAATCGTAAATAGACGTGACCGTAGTGATTCAGGAACTGTCACAGTCCCTAAGCAAGTGGTCAGTCGAAAGAGAGTGGGTTCAGGGGTCAGATCACATGGCCATCGGAATCCAGCTTGGTCAAAGCGGAGTGCAGGGTGAAACTTACGAGGAGACAACCCGACGGTTGAATGTCAAAGCAGCCGATTGGGAAGCCTTCGGCAAATTGATGCCCGAGCTAGAAAGCACACTTTCCGCTGGACCATTGCTGGGCTCTTCGGTAAACATTGATGGATTCGCTGACACTCTCGCAAATGGGTTAACAGTTCTCTGCGAAAAATCCATGCAACGTCGAAAAGCACCAAAGAAAACGAATTCCTGGTGGAACAACCACTTGTCTCGTTTAAAGGGTAATGTCTATAGACTGTTTCATAGATACCAGCACATCAAAAAGCTTGGTGCCGATACCCACCGAATCACGGCAGCGAGACTTCGATACCGCCAGCAGGTAAGAAGGTACTTCTAAGCGATTAAAAAGGCGAAAACAAAGAGCTGGGAAAAGTTCATCACAACCCACGGAAACGAGGAAAAATGGGGTGTGGTATACAAAATGCGAGCCGAAAAAGTCATGAATGCACTTCGCACTGAAGAGGGTAATGGAACCCTGAACTTTCAAGAAACAGCCAAGCGATTGCTGGCAGTACACGTGGTCGATGACCATCCAGAAATGGATACAGACGAACAGAGCAGGATAAAGATAAACACTCTCAACCTACCCAGCACAAATGATGCAGAACCACTCAATAAAGAAGAACTCAAGCAAGTCGTCCGAACGCAAAAATGGCCATGCGTGGATACCCTAAGGGATCTGTGCTTGGCCCACTGTGCTGAAACTTTATGTTTGATAATCTGCTAAAAACACTTGATCAATCCGAACATGGAAAACGCTATGCAGCGTACGCGGACGATTTAATTGTCATTATAGATGGCAATTCTAGGGAAACCCTTGAAGCCAAAGGACAAGCAGTTATTGACACAATACTCACTTGGTGCAAGAATGCCAAGCTCGAGTTATCAAAAACCAAAACAGAGGCAATCTTCATGAAGCGAGAAATCAAACTTAGAGGCAAGAGGAATTACAGGGATAAAAACAATCCCAACTACCGAGAATATAAACTACACCTCAGAAGAAAGAAAGACAGGCACAAATGTAAACCACCGAAGATCACTATAGAGGGTAACAAAAAAAGTACCCAGAGGTAGTTAGGTACCTACACTCAAAATATAGCAGGTAGAATGGGATGCATCTGAGACGGGTCGCAAAACATACCAATTCTTCCCAAACATAGCAAATAGGCTTGATAATAATTGGATACGCCTGAACAACCTCATGACACCAATATTCACAGGGCATGGCATATTTCGTGCACATCATGTACAATATGCCACCGAAACGGACCTAACCTATCCTAATTACAATAGGAGAGACGACGACACAGTGGAACACTCCCTGCTGTACTGTCCCGCATATAAAGACACACGTAGCGATCTCATATCGGTCATACGTTCAGAAACGAACGTTGACCTCAGCCTGACATGGCCTGAAATAGCGCTAAAATTCGTCCAAACAAAGGACACATGTAAGGCACTCAAACAATTTGTCAAGGCGTGCGTAAAAGAGATATTAGAAGACATGTAGGAACCGGGTGCTTTCGTTCAATTAAGGTTAGACTCGTAGTGGTATATTGCAAGGCCTTGGGCTAGATGCGTGTATCCTCGTGCCTTTCTAAAGGCGTGAGAATATGACGTCCCAAGTAACACCGTCACTAGAAGTAGAGTCATTTCCAGAGTTATGCCCCACAAGGCGAGGTACTCAAACAAAATGTCCTTCTCAGGACAGGGAAACAAGGATATCTCGATAATTATTCAACATTATGGGATAATTTTCAATACACAATCAATAATGACTGTGAGCTTGCATTCCAATCCAAAGTATGATTTCTTATTGAGTACTTATCGAGATACAGGTTAGGCCACGCCCCTAATTCCGTTTTTCGCACATTTCAACTCGATTTCTAGCTTTTTTTCGTCAGTCTTGCCTAAATATATAGGTATACTCCCAATGTATAAATATAGCCAATGAATGGTTTATGTATTTCTTATGTTAATATTGATAAAAATACAAATAAGATTATTCATTTATAGATCATCTTAAAATATAAATGATGTAGAATGGAAGTTCATTTAATTTTTTGATATGGATAGTAATGTTTATTTATAACTAACTGAAAAAGGTGAAGAAAATGATAACTGAATTTGTTATAAATAATCTAAAATGAAATCTATGCAATTAATTCGAATTCTTCCAACGTGATTTTTTTCTTTTTTTAACTGATAAAAAGTTATTCCTCATGTTAATAAATGTAATCGAACATGTTATTAATTACGATTGTAATCGCTCTAAATGAGCGTATATCAAATCTTACATTGGAATTCGAAATTTTACTGTTTTCATTTATGCACACAAATTCATTACTTTTTCTTTCAAAATCATGCCACATCGATTATTTACACTGAATAAGAGATTCTATTAATTGGCTGAAAAATAAATGATTTCTAATTTCCGTCCATCAATTCTTTTAATTCATTACTGTTCATACCAGTCAAACAGCATTTACTCAGACAAATTTGCTAGAATAAGCTCGTATTGTAGCATAGATAGCAAAAAACCAATATATCCGATATCTTTTGTCATACTTAATGTTTTTACCCTGGTGCACTGTAAATCCGAAGATTCCAAAAACGTGTAAAAATAATACACATAAGGCGTATTCAATGTAAAACGTCCATAAACAAACAATTCATTATTCGTCGACACTTTATACACATTTCATAGTGTGTGAAAAATCTATAGTTTTTTTACGGCATTTAACATTAAAGATGCTTAGCGTGTTAAAAGTGTCTACAAGAATAACAGACTTAGATTCGCAGTGTGGAAAGATTGGTATCACTTCGACTTCGTTTAACTTATCTCAAATCAACTTGCCTTGCTATAGTCATTGCTAGAAATGAAAAATAAATTTGAACTAACGTTTATATTTAAAACTAATAGAATTTGTTGTAAATAATCGAACTCGAGATCATCACGAAAAATTTAAGTTGTTTGACCGAGAAAACGAGCTTCTTCTACAAAAAATTTATTGAATAAAGTAAGTGTGTTGAGAAAGTCTCAACTTGTGAATTAACCTAACCGTTTAAGGATAGGGATGATTGTGCCGAAACAGAGCAAACGGAAGTCAGGTTTTATAAAAAATAAAGTATCTTTATTTTAAGCACTAACAGGTACACTAAGTATACTGACAAACTTGAGTTGTTAACTAGGAAGACTGAATGTCGCTCAAAATCACTGAATGTCTATTTTTTAATTCTTGAATCTGAATTGAATGTCCAAAGAACTACTCAACTTGGTGTGTTCGGTATTATTGACCTCCCACACGAGCTCAGCACGCTTCTCAAGTTGAGCAAGAATGTGATTGTGCACGTGGCGTTAGCCTATCAATGCAATGCAAAATGAATCTTGATGAAATGTCTTGAATTACACTGAAAAATCTTAAAATATTTCTTGATTCTAGTTTTAGAATGAAGCTTGAATGGCTCTGATGATTTTCAATAGCACTAGTACTGATGATTGACTCAAACTTGTAAGATTTGTTAAGAATGAATAAGAATGGAGTGTACATGTGAACGAGAACAGTGAAAGAATCGCGACAGGAACTTCATCAGTCAACAGGGACACTGAAAATTAGTCAAATGATTGACTAAATTAAGAATTATTGATTGTTTGGTCGATTGGTTATCGACCCCGTCCCAAGATGGCCGCCGAAGTTCCTGTCAGCTGACAAATTCAAACTGAGAATTAATTAATTCTCAACATGCCGCCCGCCATCAGCAACTGGTTGATGATTGTCTTCTGGTTGATTCTGCTGCTGGGCTTCAGGAGTTGGATTGATCGGTAGAATGGCTAGCTTGACGATTGGTCTGACCAACGTCGTTGTTGGTGTCTTTACCGTTGCTACTCGTGGCAGCCCGTCTTGCCCTGGGTGCAATTGTATGATCCTCACGAGTGGCCATTTTGTGGGGGGAAATCTTTCATCTGTTAGCAAGGCTAATGCACCAACTTGAATTGTTCTGTTCCTGAAAAACCACTTAGAAATAGCTTGTAATTTTTGTAAGTAAGATTGTGACCACCTGTACCAGAACTGCTGTGATTGTCGTTGAATCATCCGCCATCGATTTTGAATTGAATGTGCAAGATCTGAGGTTGATGGTTCAGGAACAGTGTTGAGTGCTGACCCAATAAGAAAGTGTCCAGGAGTGAGTGCCTGAATGTCTTCTGGGTCATCACTGATTGGCTCTAGAGGTCTTGAGTTGAGAATGGCTTCTATTTGTGTCAGTAGTGTGGTGATCTCTTCAAACGTGAAGAGTGATTCTTTTACTGTTCTCGTCAAATGAAATTAAAGTGATTTCACTACTGACTCGCACTTGCCACCAATGTGTGGTGCTGCAGGTGGGTTGAATGACCATTAAGTGCCGTTGGTGATGCTGAATCTAGAGATGACCTCATGTTCTCTGGTCAATTGTGTGAATAATTTCTTGAGTTCTATATCAGCTCCAATGAAATTTCTGCCACAGTCAGAATAGATTGTCTGGCATAATCCTCGTCTAGAGGTGAATCTCCTGTAGGCAGCAATGAATGCTTCAGTTGAATAGTCACTAACTGCTTCCAAATGAACTGCAGAAGTTGACATGCAGACAAATACACAGACCCAAGCCTTTCTAGTCTTGGCTCCTCTGCCTGATGATGTTTTGATTGTGAATGGCCCAGCATAGTCTATGCCAGTATGAGAGAATGGCCGTGAAGGAGTGATACGTGATTGTGGCAATTGGCCCATGAGTTGTTATGCTCTTATGCCTCTTTGTCGAGCACATTCGATGCACCGAAGAATGAATGTTTTTACTGGAGCTCTTCCACCTATGATCCAGTAACGTTGTCTGATTGTTGTGAGTGTAAGTTGAGTGCCACCATGTAGTGTGGCTAAATGATAATGTCTAATAATAAGAGTGGTGAATGGTGAATGTCGAGGTAGAATTGATTGATGTTTTGAATCATGACTCAACAGAGCATGCTGAAGTCGTCCTCCTACTCGTAGAACTCCTTCTGAGTCAACGTATGCTGTGAGTCTGTTGAATGAATGGTTTGGTGGAAGATGTTGATTGTTGGATAAAGTCCTGATTTCTTGGTGAAAATGTGCTGCTTGAGTAGACTTTATCCAGAAGATTGAAGTGAATTTAATGATTAAGGCGGTGATTCTAAGTAACTTGTTGAGTGTAGAATATCTGTTGACCAAGTCCCATTGCATTATTGTATCTTGAATTGCTGCTATGAGTGATATTCCAGGACGAGCTTCTAAGTTACAAGCCTCGTCAGCTGGTGGTGAATTTACTGGCCGGTTTTCTTGATTTTCAGCTAACCAGGTGGGTCCCCTCCACCATAGCGAGTAATCTTTTAATTGATTGGCTGTGATGCCTCTTGAAGCACAGTCCGCTGGATTTGCCTTGCCAGAAATGTGGTGCCAGTGCGCGTCCGCAACTAGTTCTTGAATTTGCACTACTCTGTTTCTGACAAAGTCCTTCCAGCGTCCTGCATTTGAATTGATCCATGAATAAGTGATTGAAGAGTCCGTCCATGAGTAAATTGAATGTTTACTTGGTGAGTTTTGCTAGAATTAACGCAGCAGTTAACTCTATCCTGGGGATCGTGATTTGTTTGATTGGTGCTACTTTCGTTTTCGCATAGATGAGTGTGATTTTGGACCCTGTGGACGGTGAATTGATTTTTAGGTAGATTGCTGCAGCCATCGCAAGCTGTGAAGCATCAGAGAATCCATGAATTTCTACAGTTGAATGTCTGGTTGTGTGAATCCATCGTGGAAGTGAGATCTCATGAAGTTGAGTGAATTTTTCTCTGATAATCAGCCAGCGATTGATGATTGATTGTGGGACTGGTTCGTTCCAGCTGAGGTTGTGTAACTAGAGTTCTTGAAGGAGCATCTTAGCTCTGATTGTGATTGGTGACACAAACCCCAAAGGATCATAAATTTGAGCTACTTCTGAAAGAATGAGGCGTTTTGAATATGTTGACTCATGAGTGACTGATTTTGATGTGAATGTGAATGTGTCTGAGCTTGGATTCCATTGAAGTCCAAGAATTTTTGTAGTGCAGTCTTCGAAGGTGATTTTTTGTTGATTGCCTGATGATTGTGACGTTTTTTGAAAAAGTGATTGACTGTTTGATTGCCATTTTGCAAGGGGAAAGCCGCTCGCCTTGCACAAGTTGATTAGTTCCTCAGCAACTTGAATTAATTCTTCTGGAGAATCTGCTCCTCCAAATATGTCGTCGACATAACTACCTTTAATGATTGTCTGAGTTGCTTTTGGATATTTATGGCCTTCATCCTCTACTAATTGCAGTAACACACGAACTGCTAGATAAGGAGCTGATCTAGTGCCGTAGGTTACTGTTATGAGTTGATATGGGATGATTTTGTTGTGATTGTCTAGCCAAAAAATTTGTTAAAGCTTCCAATCTTCATGATGAACCATTATTTGACGATACATTTTTGTTATGTCAGTTGCGAATACATATTGATGTTGACGAACCCAAAGAAGTACGTCAAAGATGTCTAATTGAATTTTTGCTCCAGTATAAGTGATGTCATTCAATGAAATTCCAGTTGACGTCGGGCTGGATCCATTGAAGACTACTCTGAGCTTAGTGGTAGTGCTACTTGGTCTTAAAACCCCATGATGAGGAAGAAAGTATGGATGAATGTCTTGAGATTCTTGATTGATTGTTGGAGCAGGTCTCATATGACCAAGTTCTTCGTATCCCTTCATGAATTGTCTATACAGATTGCTGTATTCAGTCTCGCTGGTTGATCTCCTCAACTGACGTTTCAAGCATCGATACGCAGTTGTATAGGAGTCTCCAAGAGCTGCAGGTGAAGAAATGAGTCGAATTCTGACAATGTATCGTCCTGATGAATGTCTAGAGTGTGTTGATTTGAAGAAATCTTCATATTGTTGGTCCAAGGATGATAATTGATGTTGATTTGACATAGGAACTTCTTCTTGAACCCAGAATTTTGTCAGCGACTCTCGAATGTCTTCATGGTTCGTGATTGTAGTAGCATGATGAATATGATAATAATTGACTGATGTATTTGGTGCTACCAGACCAAGAATTAGCCAACCAAAGATGGAAAGTTGGGCTATAGGAGCTGTTGGAGAATTATATATGATATTTTGTTTTATGATTTTTCCATAAAAGTCAGCTCCAAGTAGAATGTCTATTGATTGTGGAATGTTGAATGTTGGATCAGCTAGTGTTAATCCATTGAGATGAGATCAATGATTGTTGGGATAATTACATAGCACTTTTGGAATTAAAGCTGTCAACTGTTTCATTATGTGAGCCCGAATGTATACTGAATGACTGGATGATGATGATTGTAGCTCGCAGAATGTTACACCTTTTGTTTGAGTTAGCTTAGAGCTTTCCACTCCTCTTATGTTGATTGTCTGATGGTGTTTTCTCAGTTGCAGCAGGTTGGCTAGATGAGAAGTGATTAATGTTAGCTCTGATCCAGGATCTATGAGCACTCGTGCAATGTAACTTCCTGAGTGTGAATTGGCTTTGACTTTTGCTGTTGCTAACAGCGTTGAATGATCATCATGTAGATGACCTGGAAGTGTTTGACTTGAGCAGATTGCTCTCGTCGATGATTGTCTGCTAGTTTGAATTGAATTAACGTCACTTGTTTGTTGATTTTGTGTGCTATTAGCACTACTAGTTGAATGTTGAGTGATTGTCTTGTGGTCATTCTGACCTTTTGATTGTCCTAGATGATTTTGCTCCTCCTGAACTTGTCCTTTGGACCATTCCAACTGAACCCTCAACCCTCCTGAGGCCGAAACCTCATGTGCTAAGGTCATCCAGTCAGTTTGACCCTCCAGAGCAAGTCCATCAGCAAGCTTGAATGTCTGTGAATTGTTTGAGTGTTCTTCGAAGACTGCTTCGCCTACTCATTGTTGTGAAGTTGAAGGCTGAGTGTCTGATGGTGGTTGTTGTGGTGATTGTGTCCTGGAAGACGCTTGATTGTTGTTGCTTGATGATTGTCTGAACAGAAGTGAATAGAACATGGTGTGATGTTTGGAGTTACATTCCTTACATCTGTTCTTATTGGTGCAAGCTGGTGTGTTATGTCTTCCAAGACAATTCCTGCAGAGTTTTTTGTTGTCTACCGTCCTCAGGCCTTGCTCAAGAGGCAATGCCCGGTACTCTGGGCAGACTACAATGAAGTGACCACCATTACAGCAGTCACAAATGAATCTACGCTCACTGGTAGTTGAATGCGATGAGCGTTGTTGATTGTCTGATTTGATTCGTGGCTCCAGTTTCTCCAACGTACGAATCCGAGCCAATAGGAAGTCATGGAACTCTGAGTAAGTAGGCATCCGCTCAAGATCATTATCCTGAGTTTCCCAGAGCTCACGAGTGTGTTGATCATGGTGTTTAAGAATGTGAAAGACGAGAATTGTATCCCAATTCTTAATTAATGTCCCAATAACTTGAGTGAGTGTAATGAATTGTTTACTATGGTAAGTAAGGATGAGATCTTGGAGGAATGTAGTACAGCTCTTTTGACTCAGCAAACTGGTTGAAAAGTTTTTCCAGGTGAACGTTGATGAGTCTCTTGCGATTCTCTTACCTGGACTTGAGTGTCGACCATGCTTTAGTGAATGATTCCTTCGTGTGAGGAAGGTTCTCTACCAGAGAGAGAGCTGGACCTGAAAGAGCTGATTTGAGATAATTGAATTTGATTACCTCATCCAGACCAGGTTGATTGGCTATCATGGACTCGAATTGATCTCTGAACGACAACCAGGAGGCACTAGTCCTATGGAATTTAGGCACTGACAGCTTAGGAAGTCGGGCTGAAGCTTGTGCGACGTCAGATGCACCGCTGGTTGATGTTGATTGTGCTGGAGGTTCCGTGGAAGCTACTTTAGCGGATATCATGAAGAAGTCTGAGACTGATTTGTTGAATGTCTCAAAGACATCATCCACAATGTACGGATGATGAAATTGAGATGGTGGCCAAACTTCCTCGAGCACTTGATGTTCTGAATTGAAAGCCTCGTGCAACGCTGTGAGTTGTTTCTCCAGCGAGAGTCTTTCTTCTTTAGTGATTGTCTGTTGTTGGTCTTTGATTTGCTGATGGAATGACTGGGCTAAGAGTAGCCGAGCCATTTGAGACTTGATCTCCAAGGTCAATTGAATCGGTAGACCAGGATTGGATGGTGTGATTGTCTGTAATCCTAATCCTTATTCGTTGTTGTGAGAATGATCCCGTTTATTGGCGACAGTTTCCACGTTGATGCCAGCTCCGTGGTGATGTGACTCTTGAGACTCAGGTGAAAATCTACTTCATTTTTCTAGATAAACATCCTTGTTCCGGTTAAGTATTCTCCGTTGCCTTTTATTAGTTTGCAACACAGGAATCTTATATTTGATAAACATGAATCGCTACATGAAAACCATATTGGTATGTGCCAACACGTAGCAGTTGTCGTTGATAGGATTTTGACTATCCCTGGTTCTGAATAGTCCACCGCATTATTACACGTCTGCTCGTGGTAGTACCTCACTGGAGTAATACGTACCACGGGCGAGACGGTCTTATCTGTATTAAAATGAGTTGGGCATCGAACGATTCTATCAAAATTTTCATCGTATAAACCTATTAGAACTATGGCGTCAGCCAGTGATTCTGAGTATCTTATAATTAAAGACAACGGTGTTGCCTCCATGCAGCGTAGATTTCCTTGGAGATCGATCTGAAAAGGTAAGTAATTTTTATGACGTTACTTTCGGTTGTGTCTTATACGATCATTTTTTGTTGTTTGTTTTATTTAAAAAAAATTTAAATAAAAAAAATATTTACCAAAGATCGCCCGACCTCGTCTCCTGCTTGGAATAAAAAGTCATAAATACTCCGACCTACTGAAAAACAGAAAAAATTATATGTATATATTTTTTTTTTTTTATTTTTTTTTATTATTTCTATTATATAGGTCAATATAACCTCAATCTAATAGTCTCTTACCTTGTGGACTGTGTACGAGGTTACCTTCTTCCATCCTCCAACATAAAAGTCAGAACAATTAGATGTTAAAATCAACTTTAATACGTATAAAAACCTTTTTTTCATAAAACTAATACAATCTTTCGAATTATTAAACTGAACGAGCAACGCTATATATTTATCAAAAAATTTATCAAAAAATACTAACTCCGATTCAATCATCAAAATCAAGTCAACTGCTATTGTAAATCCAACGACAATAACGGTTGACTTTTTTTATTCGTAGCTCTCGGTTTTGCCGGGAGCTGGCGCGTTGGTACTAAAGAGCACTATAATGGCCATAGCTTGTATGCGTATTCAGCGTTTTGAGTTTGTATTAAGATTTTACCCCTCCCTGACTCTAACCAAAAAGGATTCCAAGTGTATGGAGGCTCCTGGAATTCTACCCGCAGTGGCTGCAGCCGACTTACGACTACCCCAACTGTATCGCATTCGCCGAGGACACAGGAAAACTGCAGAAAACCGTGTGTCGATACAGTCGGCTCTTGCCAATAGGCATCAAGCCTCCCCACCAACAGATGATCGCCAGAAAAATATTTCTACTTCTCTGGGATTCGAACCCAGGGCAGAAGCGATCTCAGACTTTAAAATCCGAGCGCTCTACCACTGCGCTACCGTTGCGGGTTATAACGGTTGACTTGATTATATTCAAGAAAGGCACCAGCTGCTTGTAGCGCTTTACGGCCGTTGACTTAACTATTCTAGGCACCAGCAGCAATGTTGTGCTTTACGGCCGTAAGATGGTGATTATTATTCAATAAATGAAAATGGCGGCGCGTCGTATTGGCTAAACAAGCCCAATAGTTATGTGCCGCACTATATCACTTATAGCGCATCTGGCGAAGAACTCTAGAAATGCGGCACTAACGTAATCACTCAAACGTGCCCCGTTCTGCTAGTGCATAGAATAGTCAAGTCAAGTCAAACGTGCCACGTCGGATATAAGTATAGTCACTCATAGAGAATATATATAATATTTATAACATTTAGTACTTTACAACATTGCATATTGATTTACATCTACTTAATTAAGACGATGAAATTATGTTCTTAACAAATTGAACTTCATATTATAAAGTAAAAGGATAGAGGATCATCAACCTTAACTTTTAATATAAAAATATGAATTAAATATATAGTTATGATGTAGATATAAGTAAAAGTATTTTACTTTTGAATATTTTATCATTATCTTTATTTCCATAAAAATAACTAAGTAAAAGGATTATAAATGTTATGTCCGACTATTTTTAATTAAATTTAATTTATTTAATGAATAATATTATTCCGTAAGGTTATGATTTAATGGTGATACCATAGAAGTGAAAGGGGTGATTGCGGGTAGCGTGCGAAGGATTGGAGGCGTCGGACATGGACAGGTAGTTTTTCTAAGGGAAAGAAAAAAAAACAAACTTCTTTCCCCCTTTTTTTTTTCCTTAAGGAAATTTTTTTAAGGGAACGTTAGAAGAGCCTGCACTCTTCTCCCCTCTTGCCAATGATGAGTCTCCGTTCAGAATGGGAGGTTGACAATGGAAGATGAACTTACCTTAATCCGTACTGCTTGCCGGGAGAACAATTACGCACCAGGTACAGGAACGTTGAGTGGTGAGTTTCGATGGGAGATGTTTTACTCCAAGGGAGTAGGGATTCTCCTGGATCACAAATAACTTACACAACACCTCTTAGTAAACCAATATTTATTTATTGTTTCGTTTTAGTCCCTCTTTTTTTTTTCTTACAACACTAATAATAAGATTTTTATTTTCTTTTTGTTTTGCCAGTAAGTTTGTAACGTCGGTCGACGGAAACTTTTTATTTAATATGATTAGCAATAATTACTATAGGAGAGAATATACGCGTTACTGCGTCTCGGGAGAGATTATTGTAACGACTGAAGATAGAATAAATTTTATTTAGTTCAACGCGATGCTAGATACGCGGGCCGTCTTGACGGGTCTATGGTCTTCGACGAAAAGCCTTGATAAGAGCTGTTTGATCTACGAAGTGGCCGCGTGTAAACAGAGTCGCCGGAAGTAACCCTGCACCGGTTTGAATGTCAGCAGCCGACATAAACAACGATCCAACAAAGTATTGCTTTGTAAGGATTGAGTCATCATTTTATGTGTGCGTGATTTCTGGTGAACTGGAAAGTTTCTCAAGCTGATTAAGCTGGGAACTTCCAGTCCACAGAACAAAACAGGAAAAAGGCGCACCGTCTGCAGTTTGGGGCCCCGGGCCACGCCACAAGTCAAAAGGCTTGGGAAAGAGCTGACCATCGTCGACGGAAAAGAAAAATGCTGGTCAGCGGTATAAATCCTATGCAAAAAGGAGAAGCAAAGAGGAAAGAGGGAAACAGAAAAGGAAATAAGGGATACGGGATGGACGAATATTAAGTCGGACATAGCATAAACCTCAAATTTCAATATACAGAAATATATAGAATCTACAGTAATTATCAAGATATTAGTAAAGTGTTTTAGTTTCTAATGTTTCATAATTATCATTCCTATTAAAAATTGCAACATACTTAGAGATGAATGTAATAGATAACATCTTTTCTATCTAATATAAAAATCTTGCACCTGCCACAACAGAGGCGCTACATAATAGGGGATATTAGTAAAAATAAAAGATGAATTTTGAAAAATTTAATGAAACTGCTAAAATAACGATGCAATTAAGTGATGGAGGTTGGTAACGGTTATCGCTTGGCGATCGTTAGCGACAAAAGTTTCTCAAAAATTCAAAAATTGAAATTTATTTACCCTTGACAACAGCAGTGCTGCC